TTCTTCATGTGCTTGTTGGCCATCTGAATGTCTTCTTCAGTGAAGTGTCTGTTCATATCCTGTGCCCATTTTTCTATTGGATTATTTACCTTTATCTTATTGTGGTGTTCAAGTATTTTATAAATTCCGGATATAAGTCCCTTATCTGACATGTCATTACTAAATCTTTTTTCCCAGTCTGTGGCTTCCCTTTTTACTCTGTTGGAGGAGCTTTTGGATGTGCATAGGGATTTGATTCTTAGAAGGTCCCATTCATCTATGTTATCATCTCCTGGTTGTAGATGTTAAAGACATTTTAAAAATTTATTTTGTTAATCCTTCTCCCCCACCCCACCCTTTCCTTCATTGATTGACATTTTGTTTCATGTAGTCATTCCCATACATTGTGGTTTATAAGATTAATTACCGTTGGACTGTGCCCACCGTTCCCAGTCTTTTCAGGTCTTTGCTGGACCTTGCTCATTTCCTTTACCCCCTCCTTCCAGCCACCAAATTGTGTGACCCTGTGATGACATCCCTGCCCGTCTTCCCTCCTCTGCTCCCTCGCCTTCTCCCTTCGGATCCCCATACATACTAGGTATCCTTCCAGGTTTACGGTAATGGTCTTTAATAAAGTATCTGTCCTTAGAAGACTGTGTTAGTTCACTCAGCATAATGTTCTCCCTTCTCTCTCACGTTATGTGTTATTTTTCCAAAATCATTGCTCCTGAGTGCTGAATAGAATTCCATCATGTGAACACACCGCTCTTTCGCAGTCCATTCGGTTGTAGTTGAACATTTGGGCTGTTGTTTTGTTCTTGCGGTGGTGGATAATGCAGCTGTGAACATTGGTGTACAGATCTCCATTTGTGTCTCAGTTCTAATAGCCTTGGGATGTATTCCTAGTAATGGAATAGCTGGGTCCTATGGAGTTTCTGCGTTCAGATTTTTGAGGAAACACCAGAGTACCTTCCAGAGTGGTTATACCATTTTAAAAAAAAACTTTTTAGAATTTTATTATTTTTTGTGTGTACCGTCAAATCACATCTGACTGGTACAGGAGAAGAGTGCCCCTCCTTCTCCAGCAGAGCATCTGGTGGATTCAAACCACATACCTCTAGGATTGCAATGCAGCTTCTTGCCACTAGGCCACCAGAGCTCCCTTGGTTATGCCATTTTTACAATCCCACCAGCAGTATATGGGAGTTCCCACCTCTCAACATCCTCTCCAGCCTTTATTGTTGCAGGACAACGTTTTTATCTGTTTCCATAAGATTATTATGAGTCATGGTCAACTTCAGTGGCAGCTAAGAGCAACAATATACTTTGAAAGATCATAGGGCTTTTAAAAAATGTTCATTCTTTGCCCTTTTATTTGACAAACTGCTTTCAAGTACTTGATAGAATTGTTGGTGATTCCAATTTTTGATTCATTTGTCAGTATAGACTAGATTCATTTGTTTATATGCAAAGGTTATATTAAAGTGAGAATATGTAAAATAGACCTTTTCTTTATTAGTACTTTACTTTAATGGTAAGTGAAGACTTGATGGTGTTGATTGTGTGACAACTCATAGCTGAACCTCCAGCAGATTTTCAGAGAGTTAATTGCACAAGAGATTACCCATCTTTCGTGTGGATCAGTTGGTGGATTTGAAGCACATGCCTTTGGGTTGGCAGCACAGCTCCTTAATAGTAGACACTTCTTTCCTCCCCCCGCCCCCCCCTGCCCCCCCCCGCCCAGGAAGTTAATTATCAAGATTTTTTTTCTGTAGTTTTGTGATTTGTCTCCGTCTGAGTACTGACTTTTTTCAAGTGGTTGATGTGGGCGAATGGAAAAAACATGCCAGTACTGTTTATCTTTGTGACGTGAATGGCTTTTAAGGATTCTCTACATTAATGGTTTATGTTGAAAACTCGCTTGTACTTTAATGCGTTCTAATGTCTCCATAGATTTTTGTTCCTGTTACTCGGTCCAGCAGGCAAAGCACCACAGTACCATGAAATTGGAAGGTCTATAGCCACTCTGATGACAGATGAGGTAATTGAAATACATATATGGTAAACTCATTGAAACAGTAACCGATTGGGACTTGTACCATTTTCTCTCCTTTTTAAATTATTATACTATATCACTATTCTTGTTTGTTGCAGTTACTTCATTTGCTAATACTAATAATTTATAAAAAGGTTAGCCACCTTAGGTTGGAGACCTTGGTATAAAAATCGAGACGCTTGTCTCATTGTGAACTCCTTGTTTATAATTTTTCAGGTGGATTTACCATTGGGTCCATTATTCTTTCACCATTAAAATCCCCTTCTGTGATGTTTTCTGTTTCTATAGATCTTTCATGATGTGGCTTATAAAGCAAAAGACAGAAATGACCTCTTATCTGGGATTGATGAATTCTTAGATCAAGTAACTGTCCTGCCTCCAGGAGAGTGGGACCCGTCTATACGCATAGAGCCACCAAAAAGTGTCCCCTCTCAGGTATGAATCCACTGCCGCCTTCTGTGTCACTTCCTTTCTCTTTTTAATGCCTTATTTTTATAAAATAACTTGGCTTTTTATGATTGAAATAACAAAATTACATAAAGAAGTATATTCAAAGAGGTTCTGCTTTTATGTTGTTCGTTCTGCTTTTTTTACCTAGTTCTCATCCAAGTTCTTCCTCTCCTGTGCTGTCCCTCCACCCTTCCAACCATGATGTCCTTCTTCACGGACCAGTCCCTCCTGGCCACGTGTTCTGTAGGATAGGTTTCCAGAATTCTTAGGATTACTGTCTCAAAGGATAAACTAATTTTGATAGCTGTTACCAAATTTGCTTCCGTGGAGTTGAACTATTTTGGTGGTACACAGTGCCTTTTATCTCCCTACCCGGATGAAATGGCTTGACACAGCAACAGGGGTAATGGGATTAGGTGTATTGGAGTTAGACTGGTTCAGAATAGGGGAGGGTTCACAGCTATCATACGTAGGGTCACTATGAGTTACAGGCGATTTGATGGCACATGACAACAATCACCCTATAACTTGACTGTACAAAATGTCACCTACTTTTTGGATCTTTGTCAGTTGGATAGGAATCCATCCTACTGTCTCAAGTATTTTTTTTTTT